TTGCATTTAATTAGGCGTGCGTTGCGTTAATGATCATCACAGTTGCTGCTGATGTCGTTGTTGTTATTGTGGTTACAGCTTTGGTCATTAGAAAGCTGCAATGTTCTTTTTTAGTTGGATGAAAGAGAGATAGAATGAGAAAGAAAGAGAGAGATATGAATGAGTCTTTGCAGACTCTTTCAATCTTAGGCTTTTACTCTCTGTGGCAATCAATGCACCTGCCTGCTATAGTCTCAATTGGCAATAAGATCGCACTGTTGTGTGCCATTTTTGAGCCGAGCTGAAGATGAAGCTGCGTGTAGCCGGCGCAGCTATGGAATCGCATTAGAAAATCATTTAGCTCGACTGGTATAATTGCATTTTATTGCTTCCGACAGGTTGCCCGTTACAATGGCAACAGAGAAAAGCTTCGGCTGAAGAAAGTGCCAACAAAGAGCAGCTCACGAAGAGAGCCACCGAAGAGCGCGTCCCATTAGCTTTGTGGCCGATGTTTTACCGGTTTGCGTGACCGAAGAGAGAGCCAACGTTAGTTAGTTGTAACCGTTGCCGCTTCTGCTGCTGTTGCTGTTGTTGTTGCTGCTGCTGCTGCGGCTGCTGCTGCCGGTGCTGCTGCTGCTGCTGCTGTTGATGGTCGATGTTGTTGGCTACCAACTTGTAGAGTTTTCCGCGGCCTTCGCAGCGAACATTCAGTGTCAAGGTGCTCTAACTGGCAGTCGCAGTCGCGGTCGTCGAGTCATAGAAGCTAACGAACTCTGAGAGCGATTCAATTTTCCCAGCGCAGCATCTGTAATTCTGTGTTGAGAAGCTCACATAAGAACCTATTGCCTAGGTGTATGTGCGGCAGTTAGGCGCTCCACTTTCTTGAGTGCAGACGGTGAGCGGAGCATAGCGGTCCATCGGTGTTTTTAACATAAACATTTTACGGAATAAAAAAAATCAAATTTATTGAAACAATTTGTGTGTGTCCTGCGTGCGTTGTGTTCATAAACGAAAATTCAACTAAAAATACAAAATAATTTATTTGTTCGCGTGCAAATAAAGCGGTAAAAGGATTAATCCGATAATATTTGAAAAAAATAAATACAAAGGTAACAACTTTTTTTCATAATAATGCAAACGATAAAATAAAATAATCAGCATAAAGAAAAGGAATTAAATAACTGTGGCAGTAAAAATTGCTAACCGTGCTCTGCAAATGGTATCAAATTCATGCCATCATCCATCCATGGTTGACATGGTGTCAATGGTTAAGCCGAGACTCAACAGGATGTCCACATGTCCATCAATTAAAACGAAAATGGTCAATGGACCATTAGAGAAAGCCTTGGGTGAATGTCAAGGCGATTGGCGAATGATCTGTGCAAACCGAATCTTAAGCATGTAGCGCCAGTGAACAAGCAACGTCATCTTCCAGTTGAAGTCGAAACGAGGAGATGATGGAACCGTTAGAAATTCGTGTGACCGGACCAAACGCTGTGCGCTTTGCCCGGAAAAACTTTTGTCATCTATCTAGACAGCCTGACGAAACATTTCCCAAATGCGCTGAATTTAGAGGCAATTAACTTTTGCCGGCTGCCGCACACGCAGCTCAGAAGCAGCAGAAGCAGCAGAAGCGCCAGCAGCACCAGCAGCACTCAAGTCCGCAGAATGACAAAAAATTATTTATCTGCGAAAAATTTTCATTTCTCATTCCGGCACTGGTGCATGGCCGAGTGGTAATCGCCTGGGATGGCTGGCCATTCAGTTTCGGCCTGGCGATTTGGGTCACTTGGGTTGGGTCAGCCAACAGTTATGATATAATTGAAGACAATTAGCCGCTTGGCTATGTGCAGAGAGAAGCAGAGAGATAATCAGCGTTAGCAGCTAGCCAAACAAGAGCTGAAGTCTGTCTAAATGCTTCATCTCGAATGCCATTTGAACAAAAACTTTCGCTGCATTTTGACCGCTTGTCTTAGGCACACAAACAATGCCAATATATCATAAATATTTCTTGAACTCTTTGCCGAACTCTCCACCGATTACACCTGTTTTTCATAACTATTTGAACAATGCTGAGATAAAAATATCCCGGTGAATGGAGCATATTTGCATATACTAAACATTTCTCACTTCTAGTCTTTTATATTGACTCACTGACAAATTTGTTTACTACGTGCCGCCGACAATGGAGCCGAAACTGTAATAGAGGGGAGGAGCATGCATATAAGTCGACGTTATTTGGTCACCTAAGCAGCCGTATTATGACAATTACCGCACAATAGACAGACGAAGATGCCTGGGGTAACAGCAAGTTCATTGTTATGCTAAAAGCAGTTCGAGCTCTTTTGTGCACTACATTTATGTTGATTTTTCACTATCCGAATTGGTTCACAGTTAAGCCGTCGCTGCGGTAGCGTTACAAGCGAAGCGTGATTCGAAAAGAATTCATGTTTTCATTTTACACATTGGCCGAGTAGATTAGATATTCGAAAAGCTTTCAAATGGTGCGGTTAATATGCCGTTAGGTTTTCGGTGTGGCATTACTTGTCAAATGAAAAGCTAGTTTGTTGTTTAAGTCTTTTGATCGTGATATTGAAACACGTTTGTCGCCTAAGTCTTTTGTTTGTGCAGCAGCAACAGAATGCCCACAGTTTCACTGCTAATCCACAGGCAATTAATCGAGCATTTGTCGCATAGCATAACCACTGCACACCCAATAACCAAAACACACATACATGTATTCGGTGTATTTGTATGGTATTATAGAAATTGGCTCAAATTGCTAAAATTTCAATAAAAATAACTTTGGCATGGACGATGTGGGTCAGCTCCTGTGCCAATGGCCTGCGGGTGCACTTCAAATTGCTCCAGCCAGTGGAATGAAGATAGCCAGAGCCAGAGCAGAGGCAGCCAGCACCGTCACCGCAACAGCTACGCTTGCACCTACCTGCCCGACTGGCTTCATCTGCGGCTACCACACTGCTTACAGTTACAATGACTCGCGCCTCAATTGAGATAAGCGCTCGCATCGCATTCGCATTCGCATTGGCGTTCGCGCTTCGCCGCGCCAGTTATGTCATTCTCATCGGCATTCTCCTGGTTCCGGGGCGCAGCCTGGCACAGTTTCAGTCAGCAGCACTCAATGGAAGTGAAATATTATATATATATATATATATACACTATTTTTTTGATTACTTGCAATTTTAATTGAGAAATAGCATGAGCTACTGCCGCAACGCCGGAGAGACAGTTTCAAATTGGTGTCAGAGTAGCGCGCAGATTCATTGACAGCTGACACCTGACAGCCTTGCAGGTGGCACTGGCTCGTCGGATTAGCCCAAATTTCAGCAACTAAATGCTATTCAGATTGAAGCGTATTAGCTTACATATGATCATAACGGTCGATAATCAAAACTTTTCCCCCATTGGCCATTAACAGCGCTCACGAACCACTCATAAAGATTTTTATACGGCCCAATTAGAACACGAAAAGCAACAAGTTTTTTGCGTTTCGCTTCCCACTCTTAACTCTTGCAAATGGATTGACTGGCTATAAAGAGTCCATAAAACAAGAGCTATGCAAACTGTCAAATTTGACTGTAAATACGTAAATTCGCACAAAACATCAACTCGCAACTCGGGCTGCAGCATTTCCTGGCAAAATGCATTTGCCGCTGTGCCGCTGCAAATAAATGTATACAAATGTGTCCATACATGTGAATACATAAATAAATCGACATCGAACTCGAATTCAAATGCCAAACAAATCCTCCACAGCAGCAGGAGCTGTAGCATTGCCAGCAGCAGTAGCAGCAGCAACTGCAATACCAATTCGAAATTTATGTGCATGGCAACTGACCGCGTTTACCACGCTTGTCTTGTCCATCGATGCGGATTTAGTTTATTGGCCCACTAAAGCGACTGACCCACAACATTAAATTGTAATTTGAGTGGGCAAACATTTCACTGAATTTCTATTTGCTGCGCCTGCAGCCAGCGGCTTGTTCCCCTGCATGTAAACGAGCCCAAAGGAGTCGCCGAGACCTGGCCCAGCTAACATGGACAATTAGAGCTTCATCTGCATCTGTAACTGCGACTTTTGACGCCCCACATATTTACATGAAACATGAACTTGCTCAGCCTGGCCGTGTCATTGACCATTGCAATGCATGGAAATCGATATGCGAGCAAACAATTGCATAATCGTTGATTATGAGCTCACACAGTAGAGAGCTCACTCTGTTCATAGATTGAACAGCATTGGCCACCAAAATGGCGCACAGCTGCTCGGGCCGAGCTAGAATGTTGTCCATTTCGATTCGATTAGCGCGGAAATCAATCTGGTCGTCAGCGCATGTGGAAAACTCACTGGCAGCTGCTCTGTGATTTAACGCATATTACACGTAATGCATTTTCTATACTGCTTTCAGAGCTGCGCCGTTAAGAACCGCAAAGCCACTAACAACAATTCAAGTACCCAAAGTATCGATCACATGATCATAGAGGCAATCGCAATGCCAATCAGCTTCTATTTTTCTCTCTCAGTTTTCCCAGCCTGGGCTGGCTGAAGTTTTGCGTGCGTTTTTCCTTTACTTTTTCGCCAAGTGGTGTTATTTTAATTCCCTTGGCTGTGCGTGCTGCAGTTGCAGCAGCCATGAACTCATCATCAACGAAATTGATTTTGCATCAGAGCTGTAGTTTCGTAATTCTTGCACAATTAATCACAAGCACTTCGTGCTAGTGGGCGTTGCTAGACTGGGCAGAAGCTGGGACCGGGCTAAGGCTTGGGCTACGGCTACGGCTACGGCTACGGCTTGGGCTGTGGCTGGGGCTGAGACCGGGGCCTGCCATTAAATCCATTAAACCCATTATTAAGCTTTAACTGTAACTGCTCTTGCAATTAATCATGAGATAAGCATGCAAGGAAACTGAAATGCTAATTAAAAACCAAGTTACCAAATCATTTTTGCCATCTTACAGCTAACAGCAACAAAATGCAGCCACGGTCATTGACAACGAACAGAAACGGGCGAGTCAGCATGATGGCAACAATGTCGCTGGTGCTACTGTTGGCGCTGCTGCTGCATGTGGACACAGCAGCGGCGGCCCGCAAGCTGCCCAAGCGGCCGGCGAAACCGTTGAAGACATTTCCGCGCAACAATGCGACGCCGACAATTGCAGCAGCCTCAGCCTCAGCTTCAGCAGCAGCAGCCGCATCAGAGGGCGCACAGCCAGCGAGCGGAAGCGAGCTACCAAAACCGTTGACACCTCATGCGAGCGAACAGCAGCCGGCGGAAGCTGCTCTAGCGGAACCTGCAGCAACACCTGTCAATGGCGAGAGCAAAATCGATGATCTGAGCGCGACGGCTGCGCCACTAGGCAGCCAGATCGATGAAGACTGCGAGCCGGATATGATTGGCTTTGAGCTTATAACTGGGTAGGTGATAGCTGCTATATCTTTTCGAGTCTATGTGTACATGGATCTCTGGCTGGTGGCAATTAGGCGTGGAGCAGGGACTTGGGGCACTGTGGCACTGCGGCACTTTGGCGAGGTGGCCATTAATTAACGAACCGCCTGTTCGCACATCGTAAAAGGTTGGGGCGTACGAAGAGCTAATAAGATTTCGCTTTGGTTGTCGAGGTTGCCCAGTCTAGAGAATCGTTAATGCTAGCCCCCCTTAAAGCTGTTGTAAACAAAAGATATTTATGCGCCGCATTTCGTCTTAACCCGCAATGCCCGGCAGGTACGTGCTATCGGCGCCATCGAAGCAATTGGAGACGCTGCCCGGCACACTGATGCTGACCGACTGCCTGGAGGCCTGCCAGGCTAATGAATCTTGCAGCGCTGTTAACTACGAGACGGGGCTTTGCGTCATGTTCCGCAGCACCGCCGATCAATTGCCAGGTGAGTGGGGCACGCTTGTAATTTGGCGGTGTGTCTATGTGTGCGCCGGTGTGTGTGTGTGTGTGTGTCTGTGTGTGGGCCTGCGGTTTTCTAGCTCCGCCTTCTACTTACGACAGGTTCACTTTCCCGATCGCAATATCCCGTTTTCACGGTCTACGCACAGAAATCCTGCTTTGGTGTGCGACCCTGCTCGAAGGCCTGGTGCATAGATCGTGTGCAGGGCTACCGTCTGCCGGAGCATGCCAAGTCTAGCCAGAGCGTGGCCACGCGACGCGACTGCATCGAGCTGTGCCTGGGCGAAACGGAGTTCACCTGCCGGTAAGTGGTAGTCCCGTTACAAACATTCCAGTTGCCATTTCGCAGCTCATTCATCTGCCTCTCTGAAGCTCGGCCAACTTTTATGCGCACTCTGGCCTGTGTGAACTGTCGGACATGGATCGCATTACGCTGTCGGAGGAGGCCAACATTGTGGCCTACGATGGCGCCGAATATCTCGAGAACAACTGCGCCGAGGAGCCCAGCAAACTGTGCGAGTTCAAGCGCATCTCGGGACGCATTTTAAAGACCGTCGACTCGGTGCACCAGAATGTGCAGAGCATTGACGATTGCCGCGACCTCTGCCTCAGCGCCCCCTTCCGCTGCCACTCCTACGACTATAATGAAACCGGCGAGCACGTCTGCCGTCTATCCCACCACAGTCGCGCCACGCTCAGCGATCTGTCGGAGCCCTACCTGAACATCGAAGAGGCGGCCACCTATGAGCAGTCGGCCTGCTACAATGTCTCCATTGATTGTCGCTCGGGTGAGATGATCACCAAGATTCGCACCTCCAAGCTCTTCGACGGCAAGGTCTATGCCAAGGGAGCGCCCAAGTCCTGTGCCGTAAATGTCAACAGCTCGCTGGAGTTCGATCTGCGCATGCGCTACAATGACCTCGAGTGCAATGTGCGCCAGAGCGCCTACGGACGGTATATGAACGACATTGTTATTCAGCATCACGATATGATTGTCACCTCCTCGGATCTGGGTCTGGCCGTTAGCTGTCAGTATGATTTGACCAACAAGACGGTTGTGAACAATGTTGATCTGGGCGTCACTGGCGAGATCGAATCAACTCTGAGCGAGGAAATTATTGTTGACTCACCGAATGTCATAATGAAGATCACGGCGCGTGATGGCAGCGATATGAAGCGGATTGCCGAGGTTGGCGATCCTTTGGCGCTGCGATTCGAGATCGTCGATGCCAACAGTCCGTATGAGATATTTGTGCGCGAACTGGTTGCCATGGATGGCACAGACAGCGCCGAGATTACGCTGATCGATGCCAACGGCTGTCCCACGGATCAATACATTATGAGCGCCATGCAAAAGATGGCCAGCAATCGCAAGGTGCTGCTCTCACAGTTCGACGCCTTCAAGTTCCCCTCCTCGGAGCTGGTGCAGTTCCGCGCCCTGGTCACGCCCTGCATACCGCGCTGCGAACCGGTTATCTGCGACAACGATGAGAACGGCGAGCTGAAGTCTCTGCTGTCCTATGGACGTCGCAAGCGCTCCATCCTCAATGGCACCGATGGCGGTAAGTTGCAGTCATAACGGTAGTGCTGTGCGAAATCGCTGTCCCGTGATTTATCGCAGTGATTTTGGCAGTGATAGTGAAGCGACTTGGCCCAAAGAAAATGAAATTCCCTTTATTCAAACAATTTGTTTCAACAATATGTAACTGATAAACGCTAAGCGGTTCCGGGTTTAGTCCGATCAACTGCAACTTCAACTTCAACTTCAGCTTCGGGTTCATGAACTTTAGTCCAAGTCGCCGCTTCATTCATCTCTGGCCACTGGCTGATTGTGGCTCCCACAGATTGTTCAGTACACACATACATACATATACATATATGATTCCTCATCACTTGTTACCTTCTGGTTGCTACCTTTCCACAGTTGAGCTGGCGATTAAGTCGGAACGCCAGAAACGTGATGTGAGTCATCAGCCGGCAACCGATGAGAACATTTTGCTTGTGCAGTCCATCCAAATCACCGATAAGTTTGCCTTCAATGGTGCCGATGCGAGCAACGGCGAGACGAGCGACGGCCTGGGCAAGCTGCAATTGGAATTGGCCAACAAAACGGACACTTGCATAAATGGCTATGGTAAGTTAACGTGGCTCTGCCTGGCGCTACTCGTCTAATCTGCAACTCAAGCGCGCCAAATTTATTTGTGGTAATCGCGTGCCGGTGCAACATCTAACTGGGCACACAGCAGAAAGCAGAAAGCAAGAAACTACAGAAAAAACCAGCGCACTTGCTGGCTGAGTGACCAGCTAATTAAATAAACCCATAAATATATCTCTTGCGCTTTACAACTCTATTTGCAGGCTTCATAATTGCCGGGGCACTCTTCTTGCTGCTGCAGCTGACGGTTATTGCCGTTTGGGACAACATGCAAAAGCGCGCGTTACACAAGCGATAAACTGGCGCGAGCGGTTGCTTGGTCGGAGGATGGAAGATCGAGAATGGAGCAAACTAGCATGAAGTACTCTCTCTCTCTCTCTCTCTCGCTCACACGCTCTCTTAGCTACAAGAAAAGAATACAGAAAAAAATACAGAAAAAAAATGGAAAAAAAAAAACAGAAAACAGAAAGCTTAGCAACGCTCATAATCTAGTTAGTAGCTGTACGAAACGGGGTCCTCCAATGTGGCTGCAGCTGTGGCACTTCAAAGTAATTGCGCGCAACGTAGAGCTGGACTTCTCTGCACCACATGGCCAATGGGAAAAGCGTGGCACTGACTGAGCCAGGCACACCATACACCACACCACACACACACGCTCACACACCACATGGAAAGGGCTCTGGAACTGTAGCTTAATATTTATGCTCATATATATGCTTACTCTATAAGACTTACTGCTAAGACTACTCTGAATATGTCGGCATACTATCAGCTTAAGACTCGAAAGCTCCTTAGTCGTAGTGCAAAAAATCATTCAAACCTCTTAATTGAGCTTACGTCGCTGAGACGACGCTTGTCTCACTTAAGAGGTTTGACTGTCTGAATACTTTAAATCTAAATACTTAATACAATACTAGGCCTAGAAATGCAATGTAACACGAGACAAACTTCAGATGCTATAAACAAAAACAACAACGTGAATGTAAACGTAAACTGAAACGTAATCGTTAACTTAAACGCAAAAAGTAAATAAACGTATTAGAAATTACTCATTCGCCAGACTTTTTTTTACTCTACCATTTGGTTGGCAATTTGCCTGTCAATTGATCGAGCCTGTCCGATCTAACAAGGCCAACCTCAAGTGGGCCTTCACGCCAGGCCGCTCTGATTGTTGGTTTTGGCCTAATCAACGTTGATACAAATCAATCAGAGCCACGTTTAGGCCAAGACAGGGCGCAACACTTACCAGGTGGAAACTTAACTAGTGAAACCGAGCCCAGTCTCCGCTGAGCCCAGCAACTAGAAGTAAAAGTGACAAATTAATTGAGCCAGCAAATAAACGAATAGGGGCCAACAAATTGCCGATAAACAACTTTATTTTCTTGATTTCACCTACTTGCAAATTGATGAGCTTGAGCAGCATGCTTAGCCAACGCATTCCACTTCAGATGTGTTAAAATGTGCAGTTCATTGATGTTCAGGAATGCGGCTCAGTAATGGCTAATAGCTTAATAGGGCTATTAAATTTCTACATTTGTGACCAGACTTTAATTATAGTTTTGCTTAAAGTTTATTGAGATTTTACAGCTATTTCTAGCATTCTTTAGCTGTATTTATAGTAAATCGAACATGTTCTAAAACTCTTTTCGTATTCATTTCACATCCTTCTCAGCGTCTCAGCGCTTTCCATGACTCTTTCTCTTCGTAGACTTTTACTTTTGCTCAATGCGTGAGCTTTATGAAAATGGAAATTAATTTTTGTATTTCATAATTATTTGTAGCTTGCATTTGAGTTTTAGCGACGTCGGGCTTCAGTCACAAATTTGAAAGGAAATGTTTAACATTATCTCTAATCTGATGCTTTGAACTCCGCGCCACTTGCGACAAGTTGAAGCGCTGGCAAGTCAAAAGCTGTCACCGACATGACCGTCCAAATTTAGACAAAGCCTCGTAGCTGGCCTCCAGAGGAGCGTGCTCTCAGCAACCCACCGCCAAGCCCCAAGCGCAGCCAACTGCAAGGAGCCCCAGCGAAAGTCACTGGACACTTTCAGCGCCAGAGTCGCGCAGTTTTTGTTTTTCTTCGGGTTCGGAGTTTGAGTTTTGACATTGGCACGACCATAGAAACGGCCTCCGACTGTGGCACGCATAACATAAATTCTGCAATGCGTATTTCAAAAATTGCTAACGCTCGATGACGGGGACAGGCCGGCGGCGGCATCTTGTTGCGCGACTCTGTTCCTTGGCGTGTCGTGCGGCGCTTATATGGAGCCACAGAGAGGCCGAGGCCATTCAGATGTCCGCTGGGCAAATGTTTATGTCAAACGCGCAGCAAATAAAGTGCTTGGCTTGACAATGTCCGCGGCAATGTCATCGCTCTGCGGCTGCCGATCGACACTGCCGACGGCCCTTGGGGACCAATCTGGGTGGGTATTTTTTCATAATTTTTATGAATTACACGGCGCGGCATGTCGCCTCTGCCATTGAAGTTGCATCAGCCCAAGCACCATGATGCTATCAATTGGCTTGCCCCGATCTGACGGAAGTACTTTATATTGAACATTTGCAAATCATTTCTCACGCAGCAGCGTTCCTTCCACATCGAATCAGAGTGCCAGCACTGCACCCGTATAATTGGCAGCGCACTGCTGATAAGGAATCAAATAACGCTACTTTGCAAGCGCACGCACAAAAGCCAAGCCCCAAATTATCAGCCCATTCGCCAGAAATAGATTATGTGATTGGCTCTGCATTCATTTGCTGCTGCATTCTGCACTTGAGTTGTTGTTAGTGGCTTTGCGGTTCTTAACGGCGCAGCTCTGAAAGCAGTATAGAAAATGCATTACGTGTAATATGCGTTAAATCACAGAGCAGCTGCCAGTGAGTTTTCCACATGCGCTGACGACCAGATTGATTTCCGCGCTAATCGAATCGAAATGGACAACATTCTAGCTCGGCCCGAGCAGCTGTGCGCCATTTTGGTGGCCAATGCTGTTCAATCTATGAACAGAGTGAGCTCTCTACTGTGTGAGCTCATAATCAACGATTATGCAATTGTTTGCTCGCAAATCGATTTCCATGCATTGCAATGGTCAATGACACGGTCACACTTGTAGCCGCAACGACAACCACAGCCATAGCCACAGCCACGCCACAACCACAGCCGCAACCCCAAGATCAACCACCGAGAGCAGTTCATATTTCATGTAGACAAGAGCAATGCTGCTAATAGCGGTAAATCTATGCGATCACATACTGCACTGGGGCGCCAAAAGTCGCAGTTACAGATGCAGAAGAAATTCTAATTATCCACGTTGCTCTGGCTCGCTTGGGACTCGCTTGCATGCAGGGGGAACTAGCTGCCGGCTGCTATGCCCGCAGCAAATAGAAATTCAGTTAAAATGTTTGCCCACTCAAATTACAATTTAATGTTGTGGGTCAGTCGCTTTAGTGGGCCAATAAAGTGAGTCCGGCTTAAATCTCAGCCATGGGTGTCGCAGTTGCAGTCACCGTCTCAGCGTCTCAATGGCTGTTGTAGTAGTCACAAATTCCAGGCACATAAATTGCGGGTCGCACAGAATGTCCATTTGATTGTGCGCGATTTTCAATTTTCAATTTTCAATTGGTGGCGCGGTAGCTTTTGGGGCGCTTTTGTAGGCATTTGAATTCGAATTCGATGGCGATTTATTTAGCCAAATAAACAAATGGCATGTGCACAGTGTTAATTTATCAAGTTGGCGGCCGCGCCATTGAAATTGAGTGCGAGAAAATCACTTTGGTGCGGCTGCTGCTGCGCCTGCTGCTGCGACTCCTGTCCATGGCATATTTATGGCCCCGCTGCTCATTTTGTCAGCTCAAACTGCCAGCCATATATCAGCTGTACATATCTTATTATTTACAGAGCGGCCAACGTATTGTGGGGCAATGTGTATTCGCTGACCCAGCCGACATTCGCATAGCACATTTCGGAAGTCGAAAACAAAAGACTTAGGCAACGAACTTGAATAGCATTTCTATGACAACTCATGAAAAAGTTGTTCATTTCCAATTGTTAACTTGTTGAATAAAATAAAAATTATAAATACTAATGAAAACAATTTCAAATATAATGAAACTGATATCAACTCCAGAATGGCAAAGAAATTCGATACGATTGCCGTATCGAATTTCATCGGGAAACTTGCCAAAAAAAGAACTCAGATACGGCTATAAGATGCAAATGTTTTTGCCAAAGGTTATTGTGAAAATGCTAAATAATAACTTTGCAAGCTGAGTTCGGGTTTCAATGGCAACCGCAGGCTGATAAAATGCACACAAAAGGTGTTTTTTTTTTCTTGCTTCTTCTTCTTCTGCACCACGACGGCGCATGTTGTTCCGCGAGTGCAATTGCAATATTTTTATTGCCCGCTATTCAATTTTCGGGCAGCTTTATGAGATTGCGACAGCGATGACACCTAAACAAAAGCAACAAAGGCCTACCCAAACTAGCTGCTGGCTGCGATAAATAACGGTATTCATTAAATGAAACTCTCGCTGATAAGTTACACAGCTCTATCTCCCAGCTAAATGTCGGCAATTCTTTCGCAACCGTTGCCTGACCCAAGCCCAGCGCAGATAACCTAAATCACTGCCCAACCAAACTCAGTCGAGCTGCTGCCTCGCTTGCTCGCAGCTCTGAAATGAGAAGTAAATTTGCTGCTGAAATATTTTGTCATTCTGTGAGCTGCGTGTGCGGCGGCCATAGGCAAAAGTTAATTGTCTTAGAATTCTGCGCATTTGGCAAATGTGTTTAGATGACAACAGTTTTCCGAGCCCAAGAACATTTGTTTGTCCGTACGCAGTTCGTTGGTGTCGCAGTTGTGTCGCACGAAATGGCAACGGTTTTAGCATCCGTTGTCGAACTGGACGATGACAGTGCGCTTTTGAGTCGCCTCGAAGACATTCACCTATCGCCAAAGACAAAACTTAAATGCATTCTGAAGCTTTCTCTATGCACCAGCGACAACGACAACGACAACGACAACAACAACAACAGCGGCCCAAACACTGACCATTTTTGTGTGATGGACGAGCGGCTGATCTTCAATCCCGCCTTTTGCCTGTTGCCTGTTGTCTATTGCTCGACGGCACTGCAGATCCTACTCATCGGCAAGTTGACGCACGTACGCTCCATGTCAGTCCAATTTGCTGACATGATTATGATTTTGCAGTCAAACAACAAACTAGGCGGGAGTTGAAGATGCCGATGTGACTGTGCGCTGAAGCTGATGCTGCTGACCGCAAGTGAATGGCACTAACCAATTCCACATGCCCATGCCGAGAGTTGTTCGGAACGTTGCTGCAATTCTTGTTAAATTTACTAGAAAAATTAAGCACATATCTACGCTAATCTTAGAATATTTCCTGTTTCGTATTCGAGCAAGATCGTTATATTTAACCAATACATAAACTTGTTCAATTTATGCAATTCTACAGCTCTTAGAGAGTTAGTAAGGAAACTTTCAGGTAATATTTATTTAGGCAAATATCTCGGGAAACCCCCTGAAGGCAGCTGACCATCAAGTAGTGCTCTGGAACACGCTGATCTGCCGGCCTCATGCTGTTTAGGTTGTTTGATTTTGCGCAAATCGATGCCGCCAGTGCATTGGCGTGTTGTTATTGCTGGTTCCTCGGCTGCCGTTGACTCCAAATATTTGAACCATTTTCAAGCTGCGGCAGCCGGTGCCAACTGAGGCAAGCGGAAGTCGCTGTCAGATGTGCCGTTGACTTGGGCGTGACACAGTTGCATTTATTAATGCAAATACCTATTCCGCTTAGCTCAAACTATAGTTGCAGCCTAAGCTGCACATTCTTCGTTTATGAAATGAATAACCGTTCCACGGTCGACTGGCAAACGGCAGAGCGCTCAGCCACGTTTTCCACCGAATGTTTGAAGGCGAAGGCCATGCTGACTTTGCACGACACAGCAGAGCGAGCGACCGTCGCAGAGACCATCGTTGGCAGCAACGTGCTATTCTCTT